CCCCCCCCCCCCCCCCCCCCGTCCCCCCGCTGCTGGCGGACGTGCCTGCTTACCTGCAGCGAGGCGCGCACCTGCCTCCCCGGAGACGTCGCTCCAGACGCCGTGGAAAACGCGCTGGCCGGCTGGTGAAACTGAAAGCCCTGCTGGCTGCCTCTGAAACATCCTCTCCAGCTGATGGTGAGCGTTTCCACCTCCGCTCCTGGCGCTGTACAGATCCTGTGGTGCGCTGTCTGGTCCCGCTGTCGGGGTCCCATCATCACACTGGGCCCGTGCGCGGCTGGGTTTCCTGCCGGAGGCGCGCATCTATCTCTGCAGATCTGAGGCGGCTGGACAGGACACTGCAACCATCTCCTCCTGTGGTGGATTCTACGAGGATGGCCCTGATAAATGCCAGATCTCTGGCTAATAAAACTTTTATTTTGAACGACTTTTTCTGCTGCAACCGACTGGACTTTCTTTTCATCACTGAGACTTGGATCTGCCCTGGTGAGTTCAGTGTTTTTCTGGAATTACTACCTCCGGACTGTTCGTTTTGCAATGCTCCAAGGACAACTGGTCATGGTGGAGGATTATTGGCTGTTTTTAAGAAACATTTGCACTGCAGACAGCTCCATGGTTCAGCTAATTATTCGAGTTTTGAACTGCTCTGTTGTGAGCTGGGCCGCTCCAACCCAGTTCTGTGTGCTATTTTTTACAGACTCCCCGGGTACCATAAACAGTTTATAAATGAACTATCTGACTTTCTAACTGGTATTCTGCTCCAATATGATCGGGTTTTGATTTTAGGTGACTTTAATATCCACGTGTGCTGTCCTGATAAACCATTAGCTCAGGACTTTCTAGACCTCATCCAGTCCTTTAACTTTGTTCAGAGTGTTGTTGGTCCGACTCACCAGCAGGGCCACACTCTAGACTTAGTTTTAACACATGGTTTGTCTGTTTCTGATTTTGAAATTGGTGACACTGTTTGTTCCGACCACAAACCGGTTTTATTCAACACCTCATTGATTTGTGAACCTACACCTCCCCCCACACCCAAGCCCTGTAGGATTTTTAACCCTTCCACCGCCACACTCTTCTCTTCCATCTTTGCTAGTAATTCTGTTTCAGACTCTGAACTCTCTGTGGGTCTTACTACAAAGGAGTTGCTTTCTCAGCATCAGGAGGCGTGTGTACAGATCCTGGACTCAGTCGCCCCGTTAATGCTCAGGAATCGAAAACGCACGCCCCACCCTTGGGTAAATGAGACTCCACGAGGGGCAAGACGCCTGTGCAGAAGAGCTGAACGTCGATGGAAAAAAGATAAACTTCAGGTGTCTTTTGAGATGTTAAAAACATGTTGGAAAGCGTATCAGACCACCGTTAAACAGGAGAAAAACAAATATTTCTCAAAAATTATCAACTCAAACAGTCACAACCCCGGCGTTCTTTTCAACACCATTAACACCATTCTAAACGTGCCTCAGTCTGCCACCATTGAGGCCTCTGTCGACACCTGTAATAAGTTTGCCAGGCATTTTGCTGAAAAGGTTGAGTCAATTAGGTCATCAATTCCACACTCCACAGCCGACCCTTCAGTTCTTGTCCCCTGCTCAGCAGTCTTCAGTCACTTTGACCCCATCTCACTCTCATTTTTAAATGAGGTCGTTGGTCACATGAAACCCGCAGGCTCCCCTGCTGATCCCATCCCTGCTGCATTTTTTAAACAGGTTCTACCGTCAACTGGACCCTCTGTTCTTGCCATTATTAACAGCAGTTTGGCTACAGGTGTGGTCCCCGATGTTTTAAAACATGCAGTAGTAACTCCATTAATTAAAAAACCCGGACTTGACCCTGCAGCTTGTTCTAACTTCAGGCCAATCTCAAAACTTCCATTTCTTTCTAAAATCTTGGAGAAAATAGTTTTTAGTCAACTAACCAAGTTTTTGAATGTAAATGGAATTTTTGAGATTTTTCAGTCAGGATTTAAACAACTGCACAGCACCGAGACAGCTTTAGTAAGGGTCTGTAATGACATTCTGCTAGCGAATGACTCTGGTCAGTCTGTGATCCTGGTACTCCTCGACCTTACTGCTGCATTTGACACTGTTGATCACAGCATCCTTATGTCACGGCTAGAACACTGGGTTGGGATTACAGGGGTGGCGCTAGAATGGTTCAGTTCGTATCTGGGTGACAGGAGTTTCTGTGTTAACTTTGACAATCATTTTTCTGCTTCTGTCCCTCTTTCCTGTGGGGTCCCACAAGGCTCCATTCTTGGACCCCTTCTGTTCTCATTGTATCTGCTCCCCTTGGGGTCAATCCTGAGGAAACATGGTATTTCGTTTCACTGTTACGCCAATGACTCTCAGATCTATCTACCTTTAAAACCAAACAGTTCTCGCTCCATCCACCCTTTGCTAAAATGTCTTGATGACATCAAGACTTGGATGGCTGCAAACTTCTTGAGTTTTAATGATCAGAAGACTGAGGTCATTGTGTTTAACCCAAGCTCTACCACTGTCACTGATCCTGTAAACCTGCACTCCCTTCAGCCTCATCTAAAGCAGTCAGTTACCAATCTCGGGGTAGTGTTAGACTCAGACTTTAAGTTTAATAAACAGATCAACTCTGTTCTACAAAAAAGCTTCTTTCAGCTAAGGCAGATAGCAAAGCTTAAGTCCGTTCTGTCCAGATCTGACCTTGAAAAAGTAGTCCATGCATTTATTACTTCCCGGCTGGACTACTGTAACTCACTTTATGTTGGGGTTAGTCAGGCTTCACTCTCACGTCTCCAGCTCGTACAAAATGCTGCAGCTCGGCTTTTAACAGGAACTCACAGGTTTGAGCACATTACTCCGGTTCTGTCCTCTCTTCACTGGCTTCCTGTACGTGTCAGAGTTGATTTTAAAATTCTCCTGCTGACATTCAAGTGCATTAACGGCCTTGCACCATCATACCTCTCTGACCTTCTTCATCCTTATACTCCTTCTCGGGCTTTGAGATCATCAGACCAGCTGCTTTTGGCCGTACCAAAAACCAGGCTGAAGCTCAGAGGAGATCGAGCGTTCTCAGTCGTGGGCCCTAAACTTTGGAACAATCTGCCCATCAACATTCGACAGGCCACCTCAGTCTCTGCTTTTAAAACTCTCCTAAAAACACATTTATACTCATTGACATTTAACACAGGGTGATCAGCTTTAGATCTGGTTTTTCATTGATGCTGATTCTGTTTATGCTTTTGTTATTATTCCTATTTAACACAAGGTCATCAGATCTGATTTAGTATTTCATTGTTTCTGACTGAGTTTATGCTTTTTGTTATTATTTCCTTGACTTTTGACACAACGTGATCTGATTTAGTATTTCATTGTTTCTAATTGTTTTTGGTTTTATATTTTTATTCCATGTGCTGTAAATATATCTTGCTACTTTTTATCTGATGATGTGATATTTTTGTTAAGCACTTTGGTAACAGTTTCTGTTTTAAATGTGCTCTATAAATAAATCTGACTTGACTTGACTATAAATAAATCTGACTTGACTTGACTTGACTTAACTGGAGTTAGTAGGAGAGATCATATTTCTCCAGTTTTAGTTTCTCTCCATTGGCTCCCTGTCAAATCCAGAATAGAATTCAAAATCTTACTTCTAACCTACGAAGCCCTCAACAACCTGGCTCCATCTTATATTACAGATCTTATTGTTCCATATTTTCCTAACAGAGCACTTCACTCTCAGACTGCAGGTTTACTTGTGGTTCCTAGAATTTACAAAAACAAAATGGGAGGAAGATCTTTCAGTTATCAGGCTCTTCTCTTGTGGAACCAACTTCCAATCTCTGTCCGTGAGGCTGACACGTTATCCAGTTTTAAAACTAGGCTTAAGTCAGAGTCAGAGTTTCTTTATTGTCATTCGCACCTCATGTGGTGGAGCGAAATTATGTACACAGGGTCCCAGTTACATCCAACAATAAAATGTATAAGAAAAACAGTAATAACATCTAAGATATGAACTAAGAAAAACATAAACTAAATATACACTAAGCACTCATAACATAAAACATTGAACATCAGCACAAACATGAACATGAGTCTGTGTGAGCAGATGTGCACGCATGAACACATCAACATTGAAACAGATCAGCAGCAACATGAAACAGATCAGCAGCAACATGATATGGTTTTTCACAGTGATTATTCTAGTTAGAGATTCATGAGTCTAACAGCCTCAGGGTAGAAGCTGTTCCTCAGTCTAGTGATTCTACACTTAATGCTCCTCAACCTCCTTCCTGAGGGGAGTGGGGCCAAAAGTGTGTGTGCTGGGTGAGTGAGGTCCTTCATGATGCAGGTAGCCCTCTTCCTGCATCTAGAGGTGTAGATGTCTGTGATGGTGGGGAGACTGACTCCAACAGACTTCTGTGCAGCCTTCACCACTCTCTGCAAAGCTTTTCTTTCTGCAGCTGTGCAGCCTCCATGCCACGGTCAAAAGGGTCACGGTCCAAAAGGGTGATCAGCTCCCATTTAGTGCCTTTTTTAAACTTACTCAGATTACATTTTGTTTCTGAGGAAAAAGACTAAAATAACTTTCTAAGTACACGAAAACAGAAAGTAGCAGACCCAACAAATCAAATCATGTCATCCTGTCAGAAAGGTGAATACTCACGAGGCTTACTGTTTTGGTTCTTCAGTAATTTAGAACTATTCTCCACTAAAATAATCAAACCTTTTCCTTTCTTCAATGTATTGTTCACATTGTAGATAATTAAAAAATGAAAACAAAGTATGATTTTTGAATGATTTGAGTCAGGCTGCACTCTTTGTCTTGCTGTGTGTTGCAGCTGGGACGATGCAGTGGGAATCTGCAGTAGCCACCAGCACCCCGGGCTTCGTTCCTCTGGTGGTGCTGGAGCTGGCCTCAGACACCAAGCAGGAGGCAGCAGTCTGGCTGCAGAGCAGGATCACCGCGCCTCAGAGGAACGGAGGTGTGGACATCACTCTACAGCCTTCAGGTTGTTGGTCTCCACCGTGGTTAACACTGTCCACTGTCCCAGGTGCTGAGCTGCAGGTGGAGCAGCTGGGCCCTGGAGTTGGAGCTCAGAAGGACAACCCCAACCTGTTCCTGGTTGGGGCCTCCTGGCAGAGGTTGCTGTCTGGTGCCGAGGACCTGGGCCTCTTTAAGGAGTACAGCGATGGCTCCATGAGGGGCTTCACCTGTGTCAACAAGCACAGCTTCAAGGACTTTAAAGGTGTGAAGTTTTGGCCTATGTATGTGTGTGTTTATCTGTTAGCAAAATATCTCATGAATCATTGTATACATTTTGATGAAACTCAGAGGGTGGTCATGGGATGTACATGTACAACTGATTGGCTTTTGTATGTGCAGGTTGTGAGCAGCTTTGATGAGTCAACAATGACAGAAGTTCTTCTAATGACTCATCTGAAGAATAAAAATCATTTGGAGCAGCTACATGTTGGGAGCTACATCTACCTGATGTTAGCTAAAGCTTTTTATGCTAACTGACTGAAGCAGCCATCTTGAATCATGTAGACTCCAAACGTTAATCAGTTGATAATTTCTCTAAAAGTTTCACCCCGATCTGTGCAGGGTTTTGAGGTGTAGTGTAGCAGATCCATCTGAAGCTGAATGTTGATGAGAACTGAATGAAGCTGTGACAGCAGCCTGTCTGGGCTGAACTTTACTGCACTGTCTGGTGGTGGATGTATTGTTGCTGTGAGGTTAGCTCTAAATGAAATACTCTGACCTGCTGCTGCTCTGCTGTCGAAGCACAACACTGAAGGATGGGGTCTGCTGTCTCTCCAGGTGATGGAGATGGCTTTCTTAGCATGGCTGAGTGTCAGTACATCATCAAGCATGAGCTGGACACACTGCGGGCCAGAGAGGAGACGCATGTTCCAGGATACACCCAAGCAAAGCTCTATCCTGGGAAATCTATCAGTGAGTGTCCACATCACAGAAATCAACTCATGACAGCATCTTCATGTGTTTTTACCCACTAGAATAGCCTGACTGCTGACTCAGCACTTTGTTTTCATGTTAAGACTTTATTCTGTACTTTTTAAGGAATCAAACTACTTTGCATGCATGACACTAATTTAATCATTCATGTATCAAAACTTTCAGCTCAGTCAAGTATTATGTACTTTTGTGTTTTCGTAACTGTTATACTTAAAATAAATTAACTTTATTTTAAAACATTTTTTCCTTAGAAATACATCGAGACATCTGCAGCTCCATTAAACGCAGTACTCTGAAAAATGCTTCAGCACGCTTCTTCTGTTTGACTTCATATGCTTCTCTTGGCATTTGGCTACAGTTGAGCTATTTTTAACTTTCAGCTATAGTTTTGCTACTTTTAGCTTTCAGCTACAGTTTTGCTACTTTTAGCTTTTAGTTACGTTTTTGTTAATTTTGTGAATGTTTATGAAGCATTCACTCAACTGTGATCCATTTTTCTTCCGTACGTTTTTAGGCACAATTCTTGTCCCGTAGTTTTCAAGCTATTTCAACAAACCATAAATCAAAACGTTTCAACCTCCTATGACTTTTGGTATTGGTGCAACTTTAGCTTTTTGAAATAATTAGCCTTTTCTGTCGTTTTTCTTCTCATAGAAAATGAATTGAGCTCATTTTACATCCTTCCTTTTATTGCTCCTTTCACATTTTGTTCTGCTTCAGCTTCTTTCAGCTTCCTTGAGCAAATTTAAACATGTTTTCAGCTTCTTTCAGCTGTTTTTTGCTATTTTCGGCTTTTTCAGATAATTTCAACTTTTTTGTGCCAATTTCTGCTTCTTTAAGCCTAATTGGGCAAACGTCTTCTTTCTCCTTTCTTCTGCAAATTAAACTTGCTTTTTCATTTCAGCTACATTTCAGCATGGTTTAGCTAAATTCAGCAGTTTTTAAGCAAGTTCCTCAGCAGTAAGCAGTGATGGACTGTACTTATACAGCACCTTTCTATCTATAAAGATACACAAAGCTCTTTATAACAATCTGTGTCCTCTATCCTGATGCAAGCTCAATAATCCAGGTAGAAAAATCTAAAAAAGTTAAATCTGGTCATCTGGACATTCAAAAAAACAAAACAAAGCAAAACAACAACATCAACAACAAAAAAGTAGAGTTTCCAGTTTCTCCTATTGCTGCCAACCTGTACATGGAGGAGGTAGAAAAGAGAGCCTTGACGTCCTTTTCAGGGACACCACCAAGTCATTGGTTCAGGTATGTTGACGACACCTGGGTTAAAATTAAATCTCAGGAAGTCCAACATTTTACTGACCACATCAACTCTGTGGATAAATACATTAAGTTCACACGAGAAGATGTAAAAAATGGCAAGTTGGCTTTCTTGGACTGTGAGGTCTCAGCCTCTGATAGAGGACATTTGTAAACTGAGGTGTACCGCAAACCCACCCACACAGACCAGTATTTGCAGTTTGACTCCCATCACCCTTTGGAGCACAAGTTAGGAGTCATCAGGACTCTGTATCACAGAGCAGACAGCGTCCCCACTAACTCAGGAGCCAGGCAGAAGGAGAAATCCCACACAAGACAGGCTCTAGAGCAATGTGGATATCCTAACTGGGCCTTCCTGAAAGCAGAGAAGAAACCCAAACAGGACTCCAGTCAGCCATCAGGTGAAAAGGAAGAAACCAGACCCAGACCAGTGGTCATTCCATATGTTGAGGGAGTATCAGAGAAACTGAGACGTTTATTTTCTAAACATAACGTCCCAGTGGCTTTTAAACCCCAAAATACATTACGGCAAAGACTGGTTCATCCCAAAGATCCAGTCCCCCGGCACAAACAGAGTAATGTTGTGTATGCTGTTCAGTGTCAGGAGGGCTGTGATCAGTCTTACATCGGGGAAACTAAACAGCCACTGGCCAAAAGGATGGCCCAGCACAGAAGATCAACATCATCAGGCCAGGACTCTGAGGTCTACACTCATCTCCAGGCCAGCGGTCACTCTTTCAGGGATGAAGATGTTCACATCCTGGACAGAGAGGAACGATGGTTTGAGGGAGGAGTAAAGGAGGCCATCTTTGTGAAAAGAAATCGCCCATCATTAAACAGGGGTGGAGGCCTCCGGGTTCAACTGTCCCCCTCTTACAATGCTGTGATTGCTAGTATCACTCAACCCCCTGTGAATAGTAAACAGCCATCAGTGTGCTAATGATCCATTGTTAGGCTGATGGTCCTTCTTGATCATGTGAGCAGCTGGTTTTGGTTGTCAGCAGCAAACTGATTGATCCTCTCGAAGGTGCTATTTAAGAGACTGAGCTGAATACAGCTCCTCAGACTGAGGAAGTCTCTCGGATGAGAGACAAAATGTTTCTACATTTTTTGTTGTTGTTTTGCTTTTTTCTGTTTTTTGAATGTCCAGAGGACCAGATTTAACTTTTTTAGAATCTGTGTCCTCATTTACTCATTCATACAGCACTCTACTAGATCTATACAAAGAATAATCAGAGCTTTATCACATTCATACACTGATGGGACACACATTGGAGGCAATGAGGGGTTCAGTGTCTTGCTCAGGGACACTTCAGCATGTGACTGCTGGTGGAATCAAACCCCCAACTCTTCCAATGGAGGACAACTGCTCTAACCACTCAGCCACAGCCGCTCTAAATTCACTGCATTTTCACAGGAAATGCTTTTTCTCTAGTTTTGGCTTATGTTCTGTTTGTTCTAACAAACATTTTGGTTTCAGCTTCTTTAACGAATTCCTCCAGTCATTCAGTTTTCACAATCTGTGTATTTTAGCACAAAATGTTTGACTCTCTAGTTTATTTAATTTTTAGAGGTTATACTGAAAAGATGTATATAATCATGTGGATACAAAGTCAGCATCGCACTAATGTTTTCTTGTTTTTAGTTTCTTTTGTACATTTTGCAGTATCACATTACTTCAGCGTACTTTTAGCTATTTTTAACACTCATGCATCAAAATGTTCCATCATTCATGATTACTATGAAGACTGATATTGATATTAAGGCCCTGTTGTAAGGATGGTACCATTTCCTGTTTCTGTTTGTGTCTGTGTTCCCCACTCTGCTTTTTGTGCTCTTGTAGTTCTGCTCTTTGTGTGGTTTCTGTTCCTGTGTATCTGGTCCTGTTTTCCACTCACTCCTCAGTCTGCCTCTCCACTCCTCAGTCTTTATCATTCACACCTGTCCCTCATCAGCCACCTGCCCAGGTGCTCTCATTACTCACTCTCCCTCTGTCTTATAAAAAGCCTTTCTCTCCTCCACTCCTGGTCCGGTCATTGTTCTGTATTCACAGACATCTCAGTCCTCCTCTGTCCCGTCTGTTTTTGTCCACCTGATGATCTGCTCTGCCTGTGTACTCTGATGTCCTGTTCAGCCTTGTTTTTGATCCTGTTTTGCCAAAGTAAGTTTTGCTGCACTGACAGCCTTTTGTTTTGTTGTTTAAATAAATTATTTTTATTTAAACTCCTGCCTCGCTCGCCTCCCTGCAAATGGGTTCCAACTGTGAGGATTGTGACACCTGTTGCACCATAATATTTTGAAGAACTTATGTTGACGTATATAATCGTGTCTAATACAATGATATAAAGATGGAATTAAAAAAAATTACTGGAAGGCTTTTTTGGATGTATACATATGTATTGCTAACGAGATGGCCAAATATATAACCTAAAAATAAATATCCATGACTTGTTCCTAGCTTAAACAAGTGTATGCCTGTGTTTTTGACTTATGCAGAGCTTATAATCGGCGTTAGTGTAACTTAAGCAGAGCATGCTGGAGCAGAGCAGTGACGTATAGCATCAGCATATGAAAAAACTGACAAACACGCTGATGTAAATGTTGGATAAAAATATCCTCTGTTCATTCTACTTACTCAAAGAAGCCACACTGTGAGGACACGAGAATTAACCAGCTTTTACTTGCAAGGACAGACGGTCACTACAGGCGCACACAGATGTACAAAAGTTACATGCTTGGAGCCCCGTCACGAGAATCTGCACCAGACAGTGTCAAGAGTAGTTTATATACTGTACACTTATCAGCTCCCACACGCCTGATGGCCTCGGCCTCCCAGCTGTACATGCAGGATCAAGTCAGCTCCTCTCAGAGAGAAAATTACTCTCTGAACTCACGCACATGGCTCAACATTAATTTAACATAAGTTAGTGATAAACATTCTTGACCTTGACCAACATTCCCAACAGTAAGTTGTACAACTTTGGTATAAGTTTGAACAAGTTATAGTGTTTCCCCTGGGTAACGCGCCATCTCATCTCATCTGTGATTTTTGTCGGGAGTGGGGGGTGAGGGAGGGAATTCAGCGTGAGGGAAGAGACAGTGTGAGAGCTGCCTTTAGCTTTTTAGCTAGTGCGCCTGTATTGTGCGCCGCTAGCTTAGCGCTACTTCAGTGTCGATGGGTGGGGGAGGTTGTGTGCAATTCGGTTCGATAGGCAGGGCGCTCGGTTCTGTGGCCGGGTCGGGACGTCCCCCTTGTATAATGGTAGGGGAAACACTGATTATCAGCACGCTTATATACAACGTCATAAGTGTGTTGTATGGCAATGCCAGCCAGAAATTTTGCACACGCACAAAATTTTCACTGTACCAACGTTCAGCCTGACGTGTTGCTCATAATTTATGTTACTCATTAGTTGACATGTCAGAAACCAGCTGTGAGCTTTTGAATAACTTACTTCTAATAAACAGATCTGTAACTTTTATGAGACATCTCTGCAGCATGTTGTAATATCTGTGCTGTAAAGGGTTCCAGGTTTTGTTTCTGTGGGGTTGTGTTGTGATCCCTATCACCACAGAGATGGAGGGTCCTGCTGCAGCTTTGTTGATCACAGATTTGTTTGAGCTCTTCTGAGGCATGTTGTTGTCCAATGCAAAGTTAATGACTGGGGGTGCAGAGAGCTGCCATTTCATATCTGATGTCACATTTGTCATTGCAGTATGCTCCAACATGCTGTGCACGAGTCAGCATAACACTAATGTTGTGCATAACCTCTGCATGAGTTGAGGTATTCACAGGTTATGAAAAAAGATAATAAAAGAGAGATCATAAAAGAGTGATGTGTATGCTACACAGTTGCCAAGCTGGTTTCTGACATATGTCAACTTGTGAGTAACTTACATGTAACGTGTGTGAACTTATGCATAACTTACCTGTCACATACTTGTAACTTGTGCTAAACTTACAAGTAACTCATCAGCATACGGTGAAGTTTTTGTGCATGAACAAAATTACTGTCTGGCCATCATATATCAGTATGTTGTTAATGTATTGTAAACTGACACCTAACTTATGTGACTTACACCAGCGTGATTGTCTTTTTTAGTCATCTTTTGGCATATGCTAAGCTATACGTCACTGTGTGACAGCGTCTTTACAGGTGGTGAATATGGTTCACGTTAGGGACTCAGGTTAACCTTAGTCTCTCTAAAGTTCACTGGAGTCACTTAAATGCAAAATAAGCTGTCGTCAACAATTCTTTGCCATTACATAGGAAGTAGTGATGACTCGTACAACAGAGCTGGGCACAAATTTCACAAATGACCAGACATCCTTACAAAACACAAACAAATGTCAAAATATTGTTACTGCCAGTCTTCACCACAAATTAGGAAGTTTTTTTTAAGTCTCAGGTATTGTCTGATTAATTTGAGGATCTCATGACTTGAAAAAAAATGAATTTTTCCACATTTTAACATGTTAAAACCACCAAATTCAAACAAAATATTAAATCGTTTTAAAGCTGAAGGAAAACGGTAAACACTTTGCTGATTAGCTTTGTAGAGATGGTAAATGGTAAATGGACTGTACTTGTATAGCACCTTTCTATCTTATCAAGATACTCAACGCTCTTTACAACACAATCTGTGCCTCATTTACACATTCATACAGCACTATACTAGATCTATACAAAGAATAATCAGAGCTTTAGATCACATTCATACACCTATGGGACACAAATTGGAGGCAATGAGAGGTTCAGGGACAGGGACACTTCATCATGTGACTGCTGGTGGAATTGAACCCCCAACTCTCCCATTGGACCTCTGGAGTGGCAGCAAGAAAGCCATTGTTGAAAGAATACCTTCATAAGTCCTGTTTTCAATCTGCACAGTCATGGAGATGAAGGCACTCCTGGTTTAAATGTTTTCTTGTCAGAATCAAGGCTAGCTGACAGCGCCACCTAATGCCCATAAAACAACACAAACACAAAACGAGTGCTGCAAAGATGCACGGGGCCATTCCTCGCCGTTTGCAGCTCTAATTCTGGACTATTTTTGTAGGTTAGAGTCCAGGACGAAGTTTTATTAGATTGGGTTTGTTTAACAAAACCTGGCTGCTGTTTTTTTTGTTTGTTTTGTGTTTGTTTTGTGTTTGTTTTGCTCGTTCATAAAGATTCTTCTTTAATCCAGTTCCAGATGGAATGTTCTGATTTAAGCAGCTAATCAGCAACAATTTGGTTCTTTTCCACAGCTTCTATGAGTGTCTAGGCACTTATGATGTCTTTAAGTTGCAAGAAAACATGCATCCCTGCAGCCTGCAGTGTGAAAACAATAAAAATGCAAATAGAATGAAAAATCCTCAAAACGAGATAAGAACGTATTGGATTTGTTGTAAAACTGGGATGCCTCTATTGAGCAACCAGTGTTAGACAAATTGTGTTTAAGCTGAATGTAATCATTTCCCACTAATCATATGCTCAATAAATGGCAGAGCTTTCAGTCAATGTGTCAGGGACAGATTGTTTTAGACAATGAGTTGTGAACAATGGGTGAACTCACTGCTGTTGTTTTCCTGACTTTCAATTGAGAAATTAAGCTGCATCTTTATTTAGTTATTAAACTCTGTTCAGGCAAACAAAAAGTAATGTGCAGTAAGGATGTTTTCAAACTTTAATATAACTTTAAAAAATCTTTACCAGAATTACTGTATGCATGTTGTTTTATTCATAATTTACATGATTAAAATCAATCAAAAATGATACTAGCATGTTAAAAACGTAAGAAAAAACATAATAAAGACAGTAATATTTTTGTTTTTCACATCCTAGTACGCAGATTGCAGTCCAAAGGGATCCTGATTCAAATGTTTCCTCTCCATGATAAAGAAGAGCTAAAAAGACTTTCTTTTTCTTGGTATAAAAAAGTCAAGTTGTCCCATCAGCCTCTTGGTAAGTGAAGGATGTCTTATTGTCTGCTTTGAAAACATGTACCGGTATGAAAATTAAAATGTTGCATTACTTGATTTTTATTTTTCACCTTTCTCTTCCTAAGCTTAAAGTAATATTGCATTTAGTTATATTTTTACTGAAACAATTAAGTTTCACTTCAGTTTATTTCTATAGCACCAACAGAAGTTGTCTCAGGGTGCTGAACAGAAACATTCACATATGCTGGTGAAGATTCTCAGTCATCCATGACATGATAAATTCAAAAACGTTCAATACAAAACAACTGGACTTTATTTGTAACAGGAGGTGTTTTGCTTCTCATCCAAGGAGCTTTCTCAATTCAAAGAGCAGTGAGTGTGGGGTTCAGGTTATAAGGCTGAGATAAGATACGCATACATATGTAGATTGACAAATCACACCTCACACCTTAACAGTAGGGGTTTCTTGTTTTTGTATTGAACATTTTTGAATCAGGGTTTTTGAGGGCTTTTTAGGTTAGAAGTAAGATTTTGAATTCTATTTTGGATTTGACACGGAGCCAATGAAGAGAAACTAAAACTGGAGAGATATGATATCTCCTACTAACTCCAGTTAAGACTCTGGCAGCAGCATTTTGGATCAACTGAAGACTTTTTAAAAAAGTTTTTAGACACCCAGATAATAAACCATTGCAATAGTCCAACCTAGATGTAATAGATTCATGAACCAGTTTTTCTGCATCATTTTTGGACCAGATGTTTCTAATCTTAGTGATATTTTATGCAGGTAGAGGAAAATGGTCCTGGTAACGTTTTTAAATCTGGGAGACATATCTTGTTTTTTAAAAACACCAAGATTTTTAACATTAGAACTGGAAGCCAAATTAATGTCATCAAGAGGAAGTGAAAGACGGCAAAGTTTATTCCTAAGATGCTCAGGTCCAAAAACCAAAACCTCAGTCTTGTCTGTGTTCAAAAGCAGAAAATTTAGGGTCACCCATGATTTTTTCTTTAAGACATGCTTGTAGTCTAAGTAGCTGATTGGATTCATTGGGTTTCATAGATAAATATAACTGAGTATCATCAGCATAACAATGAAAATGTATCCCGTGCTGTTTAATAACTTTAACTAATGGAAGCATATATCAAGTAGAGTCTTAGTCCAAACACTGAACCTTGAGGTACTCCATGAATAATTCTGGTGTATGATGAAGATTCATTTATATTTACAAATTGGAATCTATCAGATAGATATGATTTAGACCAATTTAGAGCTGTTCCTGTAATTCCAATATCATATTCAAGCCTCTAGTAAAATATTGCGATCAACTGTATCAAATGCAAAATAGCCCATGCTCAATAATCCAGGTATAAAATCCAACAATTGTTGTTGTGCGTTTCCTTGACTGATGAAGCCTTCTGGATGGAAGGTGAAACGTTTCAGAAAAAAAATTAACTGTCCAGATGACCTGACTGAAAATTGTTGGATGTATCAAAAGCAGCACTGAGGTCTAACTGGACCAGTATTAGTATTAGTAGTCCATTGTCTGAGACCATGAGAATATCATTAGTGACTTTCACTAGTTAAGTTTCTGTGCTATGATGGGCTCTAAACCCTGACTGAAACTCCTCAAAAAGATAATTTCTATTCAGATGTTCACACAACTGACCTGTAACTATTTTCTCAAAAATGTTTGAGCCAACTGTTAAATTAGATGTAGGTCTAAAATTGGCCAGAATTCCTGAGTCAAGATCAGGTTTCTTAAGTAAAGGTTTAACTACAGCAACCTTAAAGTGTTGTGGTGTGTAACCATTCATTAAAGACAGATTAAGCAGATCCAAAATGTGGACATTAATTAGGGGAAATACCTCTTTAAACAGTCTGGTTGGGATGGGATATAGCAGACTTGTGGATGGTTTGGATGAAGCTATTATTTTAGACAATTCAGAGAGCTCAACAGGACAAAAACAGTCCAGACATAATTCAGGTTCTAATAATATTTCTAAAGCTGCCTCATCTGACAGATGCAATATTAGGAAGGATGGTTTGCATTTTCTTTCTGAAATAATTTTCTTTATAAAAATCTCATGAAGTTATTGCTGCCTATAGCAATAAGGATACACGGCTCAACAGAGATGGAACCATTTTCATTAGTCTAGCTATAGTACTGAACAGAAACCTAAGGTTATTTTTATTCTCATCTATTAAAGATGAATAATATATATATATGCCTGGTGGGGCTCGGGTCCTCTGGCCCTGTCAGGCCTTGGCCTGGGTGGTGTGAGTCCTCGGTGCCCGGGCCTCGGTGCCTGGACCTGGACCTACATCGGTGTGGCGGGTGCCGACGGAGGCCTATGAGTTTGTCGCTGTTGGCCCCGGGGGGTCACTGTATGTGATTGCTGGTGGGGATCTTCCGGTTCTCCCCTGTGGTCCCTTCTGGGGGGTGGGTGGGTGGTTCGCCCTGTGTGGGTGGCTCTGGGGGCTCCGCGGTCGGGGTCCCTCCTGGGGTCTTGGGCTCTGGTCCCCCCTTTTTCGTCTGCCTCTGGTCTTGGGGGTCGGGTCTCTGCTGCTTCACAATTACTAATAAATGTTCTATTAGAGAAGCCTTATACACTTATGCATGCTCACAACCACACACAAATAGAAGCAGGGATGTTTATGTAGGCTTTATATGTAGATATATAGATATGTATGTGAGTGTATATTCATGTGTATGTATGTATGTATGTATGTATATAGGCGTAGGTATGGGTATATATATTTATTGAAACTTACTGCAAAGCCATGAATATTTTAAGTTCTTTATACATATGTATTTTGTTGCTGTGTTTTGTCATGTTCTTTGCAGGTGAACAGACAGTGGCCGGGTGTTTTGAAGTGTGCTCTATTTGTATATATTTCTTATATTTTGGAGTCTTACTTTGTCTTTTCTTTCTTTCTATCCTATTAAAAAAAAAACAAAAAAAACAAACAAAAAAAAAAAAACCCTACACTAGAATGTCACTATAATAAATATTTCATAATAATGGTGTGGAGAGGATGGCTGTAAGGGGAGAAGGGAGGCCATCAAAAAAAAAAAAAAAAAAAGATGAATAATATAAAGTTCTAGCTTTACAGAGAGCTTTCTTATGTTGGCAGAAGATGTTTCCAAGTTAAATACAATTTTTACATGTTAGTGGAGCACCATTTTCTTTCCAGCTTTCTAGATACCTGTTTTAAAGTACGTAACTCAGAACTGAACCAAGGAGCCAGCTTCCTCTGATTACTTTCTTTTTAAGCTGAGCAATTTTATCAAGTGAAGTTTGCATTGAAGTTGTAAATTAATCAACCAGATCATCTAAGTTACTGTTCTCTACTGTATTGTTTTTGCAAGGCAGAGGAAAACAACAATAGAAGAGAATCTTTAAATTGACAAGCACCTGCTAAGATGAAATTTACTCTCAGTGACTGTGTAGTCATTAAATGTAAACCCAAAGGTTATTAAAAAATAGTCAGACAGAGCAGGATTTTGAGGATTTATTACTAAGTCTGTAATCTCAATCTAGATGTGCGGACGTTTTGGGTAAAACCAAATGACTATATTAAATTATCCAAGGTTATGCTTAAGCTATCACTTTCAACATCTACCAGTACTTGAAGATTGAAATCCCCCATTATTATGACATCAGTATTCAATAATATGTCGGACAAAAAAATCTAAGAATTCAGACATAAACTGAGAATAAGGGCCTGGTGGACATAATAAATAAAAGTGACTAATCACTGTCAGTGCTTCTATTGGAGCACTTCATGCTTCTTTCTGTTTTACTTTGTATTTCCAGATGATATCAGACACTACTACGGTGAAGGCCAGGCTCTTTACTTTGGCTTTCTGGAGTACTTCACCTTTGCCCTGGTACCAATGGCCCTCATTGGAGTACCTTATTATCTGTTTGACTTGGAGGACTATGACAAATATGTAATCTTAGCTGTTTTCAACGTGATCTGGTGCACAGTTATCCTGGAGGTAGGAAATTTTGATTTCTCTTCCATGTGGGAGAAAGTGGTTTGGGTTACATTTTTAATGTGGGGGGTTAAATGACATCTTGATCAAAAATACCACCAAGGTACTTTACATAAAACAGGAAGCCAAATTAATGCCATCCAGAGCAAGTGAAAGTCTGCAAAGTTTGTTTCTAAACTGATCAGGTCCAAAAATCAAAACCTAGATTGATAAAATCAAACAAATTAAGAGTCATCTAGTTTTTTATGTCTTCAAGATAAGCAGTAATCTATTGGATTAATCAAGTTTTATGGATGAATAGAACTGAGTATCATCAGCATAACATTATCCCATGCTGTGTAATAATTTTACCTAATGGAAGCATATATAAAATAAAGAGTATTCAAAATACAGTCAGATTTTTGGATTTATTATTTATTAAAAGTCTGTTTTATTAGATTTTTGCCCAATACTAGTTGTGGGTATTAACATTATTCCAAAGAGGACAGCCATTAGCAGTGGTTCACATGCCTCAGTTGCAATGTTAAACATTACAGTTCATACAATAAAAAGCAATAAAAAAGATACATGGCCTATTTGGAATGGTTGACAAGACATGCCTTCTCTCTAAAGTTAACATACCATACCACTTTATTTATAAAGCACTTAAAACTGCAAAAAGGTCAACCAAAGTGCTGTCTGGCAGCAAGACTTAGGTTTACAAAGTTGCATTTGAACAAGCCATAAGACATGTGGAGCATTTTTTTAGACTGATTTGCAAAAACTGATTAAAACACAATTTCAAAGCTCTTATTCATACTCTCCCTCACTGCTTTCTGTTAAAAGTATTTGATACTGTCAAGCAGAATACATCTTTAAGACCTATTGGAACAGCTTGACTGTAAAGCATTATTTGTTTTGAACATTTGATGCATGTCATTGACTTTAACAAGTTAGAAAGATTGAATGCTATAGAACAGATTCAATGAACTTTCTCTCCAACAGTTGTGGAAAAGACACAGCGCCTCACTAGCCTACCGCTGGGGCACTTTGAGCAGAAAAAAAGCCTTTGAAGAACCTCGACCTGGATTTCATGGTCTCCTCGGATTCAATCCTGTGACGGGCCGCGAAGAGCCCCTGTACCCCAATGCGAAGCGTCAGCTACGAATTTATCTGGTCTCTCTGCCCTTCGTCCTGCTCTGCCTCTACATTTCTCTCTACGTCATGATGATCTACTTCTTGATGGAGGGATGGGTGCTGTCAATCCACGATGAAAACGCCAATTTCTGGACGGGATTACTTCTGTTCGTCCCCAGTATCGTATATGCCGTGGTTATAGAGGTGATGAACCTCATCTACAGATATGCTGCTGAGTTCCTCACTGATTGGGGTGAGAAGATATGTCAACTAAATCTACTGTTGGGTCAAAAATTGATAAAAACAACAATTTTCACATGTTAAAAGTAGTTGCCTTATCACATTGGAATTATAAGGTTCTCTTGCTACCCGAAAAGGAAGAAGTGGGTAAAGATAATGGATGGATGGAAGGTTCTCTTTCACAGCATTTGTTGTGTGTCTCATATTGGGAATGCCCTCTGCGTGACATCATTAGAAGCTCCTATTACATTACACCAGCCAGGATTGGCTGGAAATAAGCCTGTCAGTGTCAAGAAGGGCAGGGCCCCCCACTTATATACAGAGCTGACGCTGCACTGACAGTGTATCCAAAAACCTCTTCGTACAACAAGCAGAAGTTCCCACCAGTTCTCTCAAGGTTCTGTCTTTCTCTCAGAAATTAACTAAACTGTCTGTAGTCGTGTGAACAAGCTCGGTCACTGGGCGCTTTGCTCTGGGTCAGCACAGCACCACACAGAATAGATTTTCATCAGTAGCAATACTGCTAAGAAAATAAAAGTTTCTTTTGGCTGCTCTCTTCTTCAGGGGTTGCCACAGCAAGTGAACTTGCATGAACGATTTGGCAATTATTTTATGCCGGCTGCCCTTCCTGATGCTAAGCATTTTTGCTGACTCTTGTCTCTACTAAGCATGTGGGTGAAATTCATGCTTTATCAGTACATCCATCTTGCATAAAGTTCTCTCTTGACAAGACTAGGGTGACTTTGCTCCCAAACCCTGCTTTTGTGCCTAAAGTGTTGGGATCCTACCCTCCAATTGAGTTACTGGTTTTCAGTCTCCCTCCTTTTTCCTCTGAGGAACAAGAGAGGTTACACAAATGCTGCCTGGTACGTTCTTTACACATCTACTTGGATAGGACAAAGCATGTCAGGGAAAGCGGCCAACCGTTTGTCTTCTGGGATAAGATACATTTCAGAAAACTTGCAACAAACGGTAGTTTTCCCACTGGATCACAGGTGTGATTGCCTTAGCCTACAGTTCAAAAGGACTAAAGCCTCCAGTGGGGACTGCATGCCCATTCTACTAGGGGCTTAGGCTCTTCATGGGTCCTACGTAAGGGGGATCCCTTCAGAAGATTGCGCCGCAGCAAGCTGGACTTCTCCTCCCATGTTTGCTCAGTTTTACAAACTTGATGCCACTGCATCATCTCTGACTTATTCAGTACTCAGTGTGGCACAAAGTGCACAGGAGGATTGAAAATAAATGTTCTGAGCAGCTGACAGGTAATGTGAAATCTGCTGAGCAATACGGGAGTCAGTATATTTTCGTTCCCGATACGAGACACAAAACGAATGCTATGAAAGAGAACTTTAGGTTACTGTCGTAACCCCGATTCTTTTAGTAACATGAGTGAGTGTCTCACCAAGTCACCTTCCTTGCTCTAATGTTGCGAGGAAGAGGTGAAATTTTTTTAAATAAATTGTCAGTGCAACGGTAACTCTATATATAGAGGGAGGGCCCTGCTCTTAACACTGACAGGCTTATTTCCAACCAATCCTGGCTCGTAGGAGCTTCTGGGATCTTCTGACGAGTTCATGCTGAGGATGTTCCCAATATGAGACACTTACTCATGCAACTCAGAGAATCGGGGTTATAGTAACCTAAAGTTTTGTTGCTGACAGCCTTTAAACATTTTTCTATTCTTTACATTTAGAAAATCACCGGCTAGAGTCGTCATATCAGAATCACTTGATCCTCAAAGTGTTAGTGGTGAGTGCACGTGGCTTATTTAGGCGGTTATTTTGGGTCTTTATTGATCAGAGCTTTCCTTTTGTTGTTGCTGTTTAATTAATCTTAGTTATTGTCTCTTCTTGTTTAGTTCAACTTCTTCAACTGTTTCGCCTCACTGTTCTACATTGCTTTTATTATGCAGGACATGGCACTGCTCAGGCATGTAGGTATACCTTCCAACAGTTCCTCTAAGTGCTTGTTTGTTGTTTTTGTTGCTCAGTGCTTAAATATGTAATTTTTTCTCTCTCTCAACCCTTTATTGTCTCTTGCCTTTAGAGCCTGGCCACCCTGCTGATCACCAGTCAGATTTTGAATCAGATCATGGAGGCCTTCTTGCCCTACTGGCTCCAGAGGAGACGCAACAAAAAGATGGTTCGCAAAGTTCAGAAGAGAAGACTTATTCAAGACAAAGCGCTTCCTCTGAAAGAGCAGGTTCGACTGGAGGCTGATATGAGCACATACTTGGTAAACACGCATCTTTGGTCAAATGGAAGCTGCAAAAGTAATGAACACACCAGTTAATGTGTGCATAATAGCTTTTTCACTGATGTGTGTTGTCTCTACTTATCGTCTCACAGGGAACATTTGATGACTACCTGGAGCTTTTCCTGCTTTTCGGTTACGTCAGCCTGTTCTCCTCTGTTTATCCCCTGGCTGCGGTCCTGGTGGTTTTGAATAACATCACTGAGCTTTATTCTGATGCCTTCAAGATGTGCAATGTTTTCAAAAGACCCTTCGCTGACCCAGCTGCAAATATAGGAGTCTGGCAGGTAAGAGGCTGCGATTGACACAGGAGCCGGTGGCTGTCAGATCAGACGATAGATCAGGAAAACATACATTCATGTGATTGATTACTTTTATTTAGAAACAAAAGACAAAAGCAAATATTTAAATACAAATACAGTTACACACAAAGTGGTTCTTGGAAAGTTTTTGAAGTTTTTGTTTATTTTTATAACACAGTTTTGATAATTGATACATGAATATTATGCAAACATTAACCAAATCAAATTTATTTATATAGTGATGTCTTAATGTAGTATTTCATTCGTATTTATTAATTAAATAGTTTTGTTATCTTACGCTACATTTAGAATGAAGACTTTAGGTCATTTAAGTGAAAAAGGTAAATCTAAAGAACTCTGAAGTACCAAGTAGTTTTTTAATCTCAATATTTAATTGCCCCTGAAATCTTATTGTGGACAGACTGTACTGTAGAATGGCAGCCACCTATTATCCACCTGAAAAAGGATTTGTTAACTTATTTACCAATTTATTTATATCATACTCTTCTGTCAACTTTAATGCAGCCTGAACAGAAAAGTGCGCCCTCACAAATCATATATCAATACAACCGGCTCAGTCACTTGAGGTGTGCAACTACTTTTATTGGCAACTTAGTTAATTGGGTGAACTTTTACTGTGCAAGTTTCAAACCAGTCTGACATGTGGTCTGTGTTAACGCTGGTAATCACAACACTGGAACTTATCAAAACTGAATTTTCATGTTGTGTAGAGTTGTAAGTTATAGTGCTTGTGTTAAAATAATGTATTTATATTTAAAATATATTCTGGAGTATAAAGTTTCTTTTTTCCACAAACCATATTAGGTTTGTGGGAAATGGTAATTTGGCAGCACGACAGCTTAGTGGTTAGCACTGTTGCCTCACAGCAAGAAGGTCCAGGGTTCAATCCCCGGTTGGACTTGGAGATCTTTCTGTGTGGAGTTTGTATGTTCTCTCCATGCATGCGTGGATTTTCTCCGGGTACTCCCACAGACCAACAACATGCATGTTAGACTGCCTTCAGGCCCAGGCCTCCCTTGTAAAAGAGTTCTGTGATCTCAATGGGATTTGCGTGGTTAAATAAAGGTTAATAAAAAATGTTCTAACAAGTGAGGAGAGAGTGATGGGAAGATGGAAGGAGTACTGTAAGGAGCTAATGAATTAAGAGAATGAAAGAGAAAGAAGAGTAGAGGTCATAGAAACTGTGAACCAGGAAGTGGGAACGATTAGTGAGGGTGAAGTCCAGAAAGATTTTGAAGAAGATGAAGGGGAAGGCAGTAGGACCTGATGACATACAGTAGAGATTTGGAAATGTCTTGGAGAGATGGCAGTGAGGTTTTTGACTACTCAAATATTCAGTGGCATATTTGAGGGTGAGAAAATGTCTGAGGAATGGAGAAGAAGTGTGCTGGTGTTCATTTTTAAGAACAAGGGTGATGTACAGAGTTGTAGCAACTACAGGGGAATTAAGTTAATGAGTCACACAATGGTGATCTGGGAGAGAGTTGTGGAAGCTAGACTTAGACGAGAGGTGACTTTGTGAGCAGCAGTATGGTTTTATGCCAAGAAAGATAAATTGTCTTTGCTTTGAGGTTCTGATGGAGAAGTCAGTTGAAGGGAAGAAGAGTCAGAAAGAACATCATTGGATATTTAGAAAAAAGTTTATGACAGGGTGCCAAGGGTGGAGCAGTGGTGTTGCATTTGGAAATCTGGAGTGACAGAGAAGTATGTTAGACTGGTACAGGACATGTATGAGGACAGCAGGACAGTGGTGAGATGTGCTGTAGGAGTGACATATGGTTTCAAGGTGGAGGTGAGAGTACATCAAGGATCGGCTCTGAGCCCCTTCTTGTTTGCTGTGGTGATGGACTGATTAACGAGGTCAGGCAGGAATCCCCATGGACCATGATGTTTGCAGATGGCATTTTGATTTTGGCATTTTGATCTGTGGTGAAAACAGAGAACAGGTGGAAGAGAACTTGGAAAAGTTTACAAAAAGTGGTGAGACCAGCTATGTTGTATGGTCTGGAGACAAAGACATGGACAATAAGACAGGAGACAGAATTGGAAGCGGCAGAAATTAAGATGTTGAGGTTCTCCTTAGGAGTGACAAGGATGGGAAAGACTAGGAATGAGATCATCAGAGGTACAGCACAGGTTGAACTACTTGGAGATTAAGTTAGAGTAACCAGACTGAGATGGTTTGGACATATCCAGAGGAGGGACAGTGGTTTGCACATGTCCATAGGAGGGACAGTGGTTTGGACATGTCCAGAGGAGGGACAGTGATTTGGACATGTCCACAGGAGGGACATTGGGTATATTGGTAGAAGGATGTTAGAAATGCAGCTGCCAGAAAAAAAGACAAAGAGGATATATACAGGTCCTTCTCCAAAAATTAGCATATTGTGATAAAGGTCATTATTTTCCATAATGTAATGATAAAAATGAAACTTTCATATATTTCAGATTCATTGCACACCAACTGAAATATTTCAGGTCTTTAATTGTTTTAATACTGATGATTATGGCATACAGCTCATGAAAACCCAAAATGCCTGTCCCAAAAAATTAGCATATCATGAAAAGGTTCTCTAAACAAGCTATTAACCTAACCATCTGAATCAACGACGTAACTCTAAACACCTGCAAAAGATTCCTGAGGCTTTTAAAAACTCCCAGCCTTGTTCATTACTCAAAACCGCAATCATGGGTAAGACTGCCGACCTGACTGCTGTCCAGAAGGCCATCATTGACACCCTCAAGCAAGAGGGTAAGACACAGAAAGAAATTGCTGAACGAATAGGCTGTTCCCAGAGTGCTGTATCAAGGCACCTCTGTGGGAAGGGAAAAGTGTGGCAGAAAACGCTGCACAACGAGAAGAGGTGACCGGACCCTGAGGAGGATTGTGGAGAAGGGCCGATTCCAGACCTTGGGGGACCTGCGGAAGCAGTGGACTGAGTCTGGAGTAGAAACATCCAGAGCCACCGTGCACAGGCGTGTGCAGGAAATGGGCTACAGGTGCCGCATTCCCCAGGTCAAGCCACTTTTGAACCAGAAACAGCAGCAGAAGCGCCTGACCTGGGCTACAGAGAAGCAGCACTGGACTGTTGCTCAGTGGTCCAAAGTACTTTTTTCGGATGAAAGCAAATTCGGAAATCAAGGTGCCAGAGTCTGGAGGAAGACTGGGGAGAAGGAAATGCCAAAATGCCAGAAGTCCAGTGTGAAGCACCCACAGTCAGTGATGGTCTGGGGTGCCATGTCTGCTGCTGGTGTTGGTCCACTGTGTTTTATCAAGGGCAGGGTCAATGCAGCTAGCTATCAGGAGATTTTGGAGCACTTCATGCTTCCATCTGCTGAAAAGCTTTATGGAGATGAAGATTTCATTTTTCAGCA